CACCACAGGGAATTCCTCAGTTTAAAGAAATATTTAGAATTTTGTCTCAAGCCTCCACCTTCTGATTTGCTCTACTGCAGTGCTGCGAGAAGGAAAGCCTCTTTTTCCCCTTCTCAGCTGTCCCTGCATCCCCCAGTCATATGCTGACAGCCAGGAATTACTGGGCATCAGCCACACTAGAGATACAGGAATTCTTTTTTACAATCCCCTTCATACAAGATTAACCACAAGAGCACAGAGCACAAGTTCCACGTTGAGATAGCGCCCAGAGATGAGACTGAAGTTTGACGCATTTCTGTATTAGTAAAGACCAAAAGCGAGCCCCCAGGAGTCACAAAAACTCCGAAAACTCTCCACCCAGCAGTAAACTCTTTGCTTAAAGCTGAGCTTCTGGCTCCATCTGCTGCCAGAAAGATGGAAAAGATGAGAAAGGAGCAAGAGGCAGCTACAGCCAAAAAAAAAAAAGCCCTCCAAGGCAAAGGGCAGAGGAATGACCGCGGTTCGGCGCCGGCAGGGGAGCTACGCTCTAATTTATTTCTGCTCATGGAAAGAAAGCGACTCCAAAATAAAAAAAAAAAAAAAAAAGGAAAAAACCCAAACCAACCACGACAACTCATACCTGTTTTTCTACTTAACTAATCCACCAACATTGCTGTTAAAAGACAAACAAAACAGAGATTGCTTCATCATGGAAACTTCTAACAGGTTCAAGATGTGCAGCTCTTTACCAGGTCATGACCGATAGGCATTTGGGTCCTATTAAGCAAGCAATCTATTTTGGTAATTTTTAACTTTAGAAAATACTGTTTGATGAGATAAATTCATGTTTTTGCAGCTGAAAAGAAGTCCAGATAAAGGACAATGTCATAAGCACGGTCCCCAAGATCACCAGAAGGAAAAAAACCAAACAAAACTCACATTACATGTTTCCCTATCTCCCCACTGCTCACTACGTCGCTCTTGCCTTTCAGGGTTTCACATGGCGCCTTTAAATCTTGGTTTACATTTTTCCATAAACAGCGTAATTTTTTTTTATTTTTCTATGCCAGTATATATATTCCATGATTTCATGCCAAAAACCACACACACTTCTCTTGCCAAAGTGCAGGGGCACCCAGCACAATTGGGCATTATTTCTGCAAACAAAGCCTCCAGTGAAGCCAAGGGCTGCCCCGGGTGCCCGAGGAATGCTGGCTTGGCTCTCGGGTGCTTAGATTACCTCCCTGTGTTTGCACAGCACCGAACGCACGGCCACTATTCATTTAGAAAAACATTTCATCTACCTGACGCGAAGAACCATCAAACGCTACTTCACAAAAACATGTGCAGGCAACATAATGGAGACGGACTAAGCCTCTGCAGCCAAATGCTTAAATCTACATTTTGTAGATCCATACGGATACCTGCAGAAAGTTTTGCTGCTGTATAGCTCTTGTTAAAGAAACCTAAACTCTCCAGATAGGCAGTACAGATCTCTTTCAAGTACCATTTTAAAAACAAATTTCAATTTCAGCAAAAAGCATCACCAAAGAAATGTCATTTCCACGCTCTCATCTCTAACTAACACGAAGTAAGAAGAGCACTTGAGAAACACCGGGAGGTACAGAAAGGGCGTTCTCTGCACGTGCTTTTCTCACTTTCTATAAAGTTATGATGCAAAAACCAAACTCACAGTATTTTATGATATGTTTTATGTATTTTCTTCGCACATTTCGGTGTGCATATTACACTAATTTGTAAATGATTTTCAGTTTGGCCTCCCTCAAATTAAACTTTGCTCAGGAGCAGCATTTGGCAGAGCTATATACACTTGAGCAGTAAGTGGAACAAGTACAAACCCGAAAGCACTGAATTTCTGGCACTAAGCGGGTAAGGACACTTTAGTTGTCTACATTTTTTTGGTAATAAAAGCCCTGAAGAAAATTTCTAAGGCTAATTAGAATCCCAGACAACAAAGCCAGAGAGTGATTTACAAGCACATTAGTTACACAAGCAGCTATATTTGAGAGCTTTAAGCGGCATCACTGAAAACCGGCCAAATCCCAGTTTATGCTTGCAAGAAGACAGACAAAACCCACTTTCCATGATAAAGCAAATGCTTGTGGTGCTCCCACTTTCTCAAAACAGACACAACGCATCAAAGGCAGATGATCTCTCTGATAGCCTGTAATTTTGCCACTTTGCACACCAGAAGAGGAGGAGCTTTGACATTTCCTTTGGCCACCCCAGCTCCTCCTGCTGTCTCACTGACAAGCGCCAAAGCATTTTTTACGTTCGTTGAAGTGGAGGTTAACTGGTGACAGGCTCAATGTCTGGGTAGAGAAATCCTGGTTTCCTGTCTTCACTCCCAAAATAATATATGTAATTCTCTACTTGTTGTGGCACTGAACTGTAATTAAACCAAACATTAAAAAACAAAAACCTTATCTGCTTTAGCTCCTAGGCCACAGTCGCACACACACATCCTTGCTCTGCTTCCCACCCCAGGAGGTTTTGCTGGTTTGCCCACAGCAGGGTTGTTTCAAGAATCATAGAGTTGTTTGGGTTGGAAAAGACCTTTAAGATCATCAAGTCTAATCCGTTACCCTAACCCTGCCATCCCACCACTAAACCATGTCCCTAAGCACCTCGTCTGTCAGGCTTTTAAATCCCTCCAGGAAAGGATGAGGGGACTACTGGAGAGAGTCCAGAGGAAGGCTATAAAGATGAGGAGGGGACTGGAGCATCTCTCCTACAAGGAAAGGCTGAGGGAGCCTTTCACTTTCATCAACACTTTACAAATATCTTAAGGGTGGGGGTCACGAGGACGGAGCCAGACTCTTCTCAGTGGTGCCCAGTGACAGGACAAGGGGCAACAGGCACAAACTGAAGCAGAAGAGGTTCCAGTTCAACGTGAGGAAGAACTTCTTGACTTTGAGGGTGACTGAGCCCTGGCCCAGGCTGCCCAGGGGGGCTGTGGAGTCTCCTTCTCTGGAGATATTCA